TCCCATCACTCATCACCAGAGGGGATTCCAGACCCACCATTAGGCTTCCTAACCACCAGTGTCCGCGAGCCTAAATGCAGTCAAGGTCCAGTGCCAATGAGGAGTGAGGGTGCTGAGGGTGAAGTTGTAATTGCTACAGTGGCCTTGACCCTGCGAAGGCAGGGGTATGCCCAGCATCACTATTTTATTAATTTTAAAAATGTTTCTTAGTTTCTTTTCTTTTCTTTTCTTATTTTTTTGGAAATGTAGAAAGAGGGAGGGAAGGACCAAGAGGGAGAAAGAGAAGAGGTGGGGGAGGGGGAGGGAGAGGGGGGAGGCAGAAGAAGAGAGGGAGGGAGAGGGAGAATATGAAACTTTTTCCACCCGGTGGTTCACTCTAAAAATACCAACGGTAGATGAAACGCAGGGCAGGGCTGGGCCAAAGCCAGAAACCCTGAACTCAGTCTGGGTCTCCCACATGGGTAGGGCAGGAACCCAACTACTTGCCCCCTTGTCTGCTGCATTAGCAGGAAGCTGGAATCAAAAGCAGAGCTGAGACTTGAGCCTGGGCACTCCAATATGGATGCAGGCATCCTGAGCAGTTTAACTAGCGCACCAAACACCTGACCCAGAACACTATTTTGACCAACTTCCTTATGTCAGCCATGAGTCTGGTCAGGACACTGCATCCACAGGCAGGTCTGGGAGTATAGTCTGCCTTCAATACCACACCTCCCACTCACAGAGGACAGGTGACAGCCGTTGCAGAGCCAGCAGGAGAAACTTCTTTGGGAATAGTCACAGTTGTGGGCTCATTTTCAGCTTTTTGCTGACCTGCAGGTGCCATTCTCTTATCTCTGAGACCTGGTATCCCCCAGGGAGCCCTCTTCCAAGTCCAAGTGCAGCAGAGGTAAGCACTAAGGAGACAGAAGAGGAAGACCTGTAGCTGGGGTTGTTGGAGAGGTGTGTGGTGAGCAGATTGTGTCCTGTCTGTCAGAGAGAGAGATAACTAGAGCAACACCAAGCACTGACATTGAACCAAGAAAATGCAGAGGAAAGGAGTGTTGAGGAACCGAGAGCCTCCAGACCCACAAACGCCCAGTGCAAGAAAGAAGACGGTGGAGCATCCAGCCCTAGACCAGGCAAGGCTTCTTGTGTCTGAGGCCCAGATGGGGTGGGGTCCCAAGGTCCTGACATCACTTTTCTGGAAACTGGCTGTCTAGCTTAAGATATAGGAATAAACTAAGTAAACATGTTGGCCAGGCTCTTTGACTTCCTACTGTGGTCTCCTTATATGGAGGTTTGGTGGTTTCCATAGAAATCGGTGATGAACTTCTAAGAAGAGGCATTAGGGGAACAGAAGACAGATTCACCCATAGAGTCATGGCAAAGCCAAGAATTGACTGTGGGTCTTAGTCATCTCCCAAGACCCCTTCATGAAAACACATCCTGATAGGCACACATTTATTTTTTCACAAACAGCTTCAATGGGGGTCCTCCAGCATCAATCCTCTGTTCCTATTTTCATCCCTAACCAGAGCAAACTCACAAAGGTCTTCCTATGCAGGACATTTGGGATCATATGTGATGTGCAGACTCTTTGGAGCTAGGGTTACTCTGGCCCCTCTCCTCTCTGGATCAATACAGAAGAAGAAAAATGGGGAAGCAGCTCAGGGCAGGGAATGGAGATATTAGTATACGTCAGGATCCACTGCCCTTATCTCAGCCTCTTGTTCTAAAATCCCCATTCTTCTCTTGTCTTCCTCATTGGTCTCTAATTACTTTTTTAAGGTAGCAAAAGTCTTTGTCTCATGGCTGGTTCCCCATCTGACCATCCCCACTACCAAGTTATGTAGCCCAGCCATGGGTAGTATAGTAGGATGATTGCTAGTGCTGATAGGATGGTCTTCTGCTGGACAAGTGACCATGACTCAAGCAGCTCCTCCCCACCAGGAAATTCCCATTAGTACACGGCCGGTCAGATGCCTCCTTTCTCTCCTCAATGCAAAGTGCATCTGAAGGTCCTGGTCTTATGGAGTGCTACCCACGGTGAGTATAGCTGTGCCCCACAGAAGGGTAAGGACACAGGGGCTCCTGGCACTGTTCTCCAGATGCTTTGCTTGTGAATCTCTTTCATCACTAACTATACTTTGTCTGGGACTGATTGTCACTTGTAGAGTTTGCTGCTCTCCCATCTTCATTCTGCCCACACAGCTCCTTTATTGGATGAAGTATAAAAAGCCCTGAGGTTAGACCAGGTTGACAGTCCAGGTGGACAAGAATTCTCTTTAGTGCCTTCCACTGCAGAAGGAACTCTGGACCCAGACACTCCTTTAGAGCCCCTTGCCCAGGATTGCCCCTTGTTTGGCCAAGACAATCCTGCTTTGCATCCCTTCTGGTTAGTGGTCCCTTTCCATCTCAATAGTGTCCCAATTCATATGATAAATGATAGTGTTGACCTCTATCTAATGTGTTTTTCTTCAGTTTAACCTGAGGAAGAGGATGAGGAGAGGATGCTGGGAGTTGGTTTAGAAGAATTCCCGTAGATTCTAGAGAAAGGGGCAGAGACAGAAGATATTAACTTCCCCAATGCCTGTGAGTTGAATGTTGGAGGCCATGAAGTTGGGGAGAGATGAAGACATTGTTTTGTAGACGTGAGGAGACAAGCCCTCCCTGGGCCAAGTACGGTGTTGGGTGGGGCCCCAATGAGTTTAAAATTTTCTCGGACTGTCAGGTCCCTAGTTCAGAAGGTGAAAGGCACCTGGTCTTTTTTGTTCCTCATCTTAACCCTCTAGAAAATTCACCAGTGATGCCTGGTACTAACCAGTAACTCCTCCCGCACCATCACCGGCAGATGCTTCTACTCTCTGCATCCCCAAGGTGGCCATTTCCAAACCTGCAGATCCCACTGCTCTTCCATGAGGGCTTGTCCTGTCCCCACAGTGGCCCTGATTTTGCCCTATACCTCTTCAGCCCCTCCCAGCTTTGTATAAACCCTTGTCCCCCAATACCCGAGTCCCACCTTACTTCCTCTGCCCACACAGCATCTTGTTCTCCCTGAAACATGTACTCGTCCCCTCAGCCCAAGTTCCTCTCCCACCCTTGTGAGGAACCACCAGTGTATGTCTGCTGCATCTTCACGAGTATAAAGGAAGGGAGATAATATTTTGAAAATGGTGCTCTCGGGCGTAAAGCCTGTCTCTTTGTTTTAAAGATTTTTTAATTATCACTAGAACAGATCCACTCATGAAGAACAACATCTACAACCAGCAAAGCATTGTGTGGTAGTTTGAGACGTCTAGAAATTGTTATAACTGAAGTCATTGAAATGTAGGGGCCCTTTGGCCATCCCTGCCCTGTACCTCACTCTTTCTTGGCCTGTGCAAGCTGCTTCTAGAGAAACCGGCCCTGACCATCTCCACTTCCTGGACACTCAGTGTCCTGGGATGACCCCTGCCACCCAAATCCATGCCTACTCAGATCCTCAGAATGTAAATTTAGTGGAAACAGGGTTCTGTAGATGTCACTGTTAAAGATCTGTAGGTGAAATGATTCTGGATTTAGAGTAAGCCCTGAATTCAATGACTCATATCTTCATGAGAGAAACAGAAAAATGCAGACGGGGGAAGATGCCAAGTGAAGACAGAGGCAGAGATCAGAGTGAGGCCAACAGAGGCCAAGGACTGCCAGGAGCCAGTGGAAGTGGGAAGAAGTAAGAGAGGATTCTCTCTAGAACTGTCATGGAGCTGGCTGATGCTCACGCCTTGATTTTGTATATCCGGTCTCCATATCTGTGAGGGAATGAGCTTCCGTTGTGTTAAACCACCCAGTGGTGTTTTGTTGTGGCACTTGACCATGTATCCTGTTACAACAGCCCCAAGAAACCAGCGCAGCCAAGAGTTAGGGGCTGCTCAGCGTGCTGTTGTGAGTTCTGTTCTGAAGTCTGGGAGCAGGTGCTCTGGGGTCCCCTGGTGACACCCTGAACAGTCACACCGGCCAGGTCACCACCTGGGAAGGGTTTCCGGGGTTGCTGGCTCCTGCAGAACATGCCACAGTTTCCTCACTTGCCAGTCATTAGCTCGGTTTTTCACCTATGAAGTAGGGAGGATAACCTCTGCTCTGGAGTCACTGAGGCAATTCAGGGGGAGCACCTGTGTGCCAATGTCCAGGGCAAGCAGGCTCTGAATAAAGGGCTCCTTATTCTTCTCACCTTTCTCTCTGCTTTCACACTTCCTCTCTCACCCCAGCAGTCTGCCTCGACTGGATTAAACAAGGCAGCTATCACTGGTCTGTGCCCTCTTTTCTCTAACTCGTTCTTCCTCTCGCCCAGTGGAGTACAGAGATAACTGTCTCCACCCAAGTGAGTGCACTTAACATCTGATGTTGGTGGTAGCCTGGTCTCCATCTATCCAGTGAAGGAGCCCATTGGAAGAGCTGTTCCACACACAGCCTCTTAGTCCCACTGTGCCTCAGTTTCTTCTCATTCCTCCCTAGTGCTTGACCCCGTATACCCTGCCCCTGGGTGGTCACCTATCCCCAGGCTTCCTTTTTCTCAACCGTGAGCTTTCTCTAGTGTTCTAGCCTCAAGTAGCACTGCTTCTGAAGCCCAAGTCTAGAAACAAGACAAGTGGGAGGTACTAAGATAAACAGACAGTTAAATGTATGGGGGTAACAAATGACACTTGAATCAGGCATTGCAACCAGTAAGTCTGCTGTGTCTTCTGTCTTGGACCATGCAGGGGTTGTGGGTCACTGTGCTCCCCGCTGTCTGACCACATTAGGTCTGCTTTCCATAGCCCAGGCATTGCTATTCAAACTAACCCAACACTGGGGACCCAAAAAGTCTGGTCTGGCCCCTCACACTTGGGGGCCTCTACTTAGATGAAGAGGAGGCAGCAACATTGGTCACAGAGAAGGAGGATGGGTAACTCCATGTGCCTTAGGGGAAGGTGCCTGCCCCATGTCAGAAGAGAGGACAAGGATGGGCGGAGCTTCACAGACTTCCCTGACACACAGCCATGCACAGCACACCATTTTTATTTGTTCATTCTATTTCACATTCAGAGTTAAGAGCTCAATCTGTGGGGTAGCAGAGAGGAAAACAAATAACCCAGCAGAAAGAGGATGAGAGGTGCAGAGGGAATAACTTTTCAGGAGCACAAATCAGTAACAAGTGCCGGAGAATCCAGGGTGAGGACGAAGAACGGGTACCCTTGTGGAGTGGCTTCAGGGATTCTTTTTCTTGACCTGAGGAGGAGAGAACATTTTCTCGGTCCTGGGGACCATGGAGCAGCAGGAACAGGAGCAGAGGAGGCAGGCTGGGGAGCCCGACTTTGAGTAGGGCTGCATGGTTCTACCCACCCTTCAGTGATGCCTTCTGTCTGTAACTATCCTGCATTTTCTCCCAACGTTCCGTGCCTATGGTTTCGCTGAGATGACAGGATGCATCAAGGCTGGGGGCTGGCTCTGAGGTTCCCTCACAGATCTGCCTGATGTGCCACCCCCTCCCTCCAGTACCGATTTCCCCATTCCGCCCTCGTCCTTACCATGGCCATCAGCACCAGGGCGCTGACCAGCACAGCGTACAGGGTGGCCTTCCCCAGCAGGATTTCATAGAGGACGGTAGCAGACAGGACCCCTTGCTGATAGGATGCTGTTGGCAGGAGGGGAGAGCAAGTGGGTACCTGTGAGCAGCTGTCTGTGGCCTCCTCTGCTCCCCGCCCCACCCAGTGTCCATGAGTTTTCCAGGCCCTGGTTCCAGGCAAAGCCCAAGGGTCTCACTTACCCGAGCTGATGCCACAATCTGGAATACAAAGGGAAGAGAAAGGTAGATGAGAGGATGTCATTCCTTAAGGACACTGAGCCCCAAATCACAAACTCCACTTATTTATTTTATTCTTATCGTTTATTTGAAAAGAAGAAAGAGATGGAGGGAGATCTTCCATCCACTGCTCCACTCCCCAGATGCCTGCAACAGCCAAGGCTAAGCCAGGCCAAAGTCAGGAGCCTGGAACTTAATCCAGGTCTCCCCCGTGGCTGGGAGGGGCTTATGTACTTGAGCCATCATTTTCTACCTCCCAGGGTGTGCATGAGCGGGAAACTGGATTAGAAACCCAGTAGCTGGGACTTGGACCAGGCAGTGTGGCATGGGATGCAGTGTCCCAAGCAGGGACTTCACCACAGCACCACACACCCACCCTGTAGACTTCAAAATCACAGACTCAGGCCACCGACTCCTGTACATCAGGTGGGGCAAGGTCAGCCTCTCCCGACGGCCCTGGCACTGTATTGCTGAAGCTTTCCCAGTGTCGGGGACAAGGTCACTTTAATTTTATAAAACAGGACCAGTGAAGGGGACAGGAGACAGCACCTACAGATGCCAAGCTGTGTGGCTGGTGCCCAGGGCCACCTCTCAGCACAGCTGGGAGGGGCTGAGACTCCAGGGAAGGTGTGAGCCTGGTTTGGCCTGTTCAGGTCCCAGTCGTCATGGAGAGGAAGTGTGCTCTATGCTTCCTGAAATTGTGGTCACTGATGGTCCCCTTCCATCGCCTCTGGTTTTCTTCGGGTCTAATCTTCTCTTCTGCCTGGAGCTTTTCACTTCCCGGTGGTGGGTGGCCCCCCCCAGCCTCCCCAGGCCCTGCTTACCTGCTCTGCCCCGGGTGTGAGCACTGACGTTCTGGGTGACGGGTTTACTACTGTTGTACGTCCACTTGTCGTCGTCCGTGAGCCCAAAGAACTGGACTTGGCAGCGGAAGTGGTTGCGGGGGTTGTGCCAGAAGGCAGCCGACACCCTCAGGCGGCTGCTCAGGCAGTATTTGGAGTGATCGGACTTGGGGTCCTGCTTGTAGGGCTGGGGGTCCGTGCTGACCCCGTTGTGGACCTCCTTCCCGTTCACCCACCAGCTCAGTTCCACGTGGTCAGGGTAGAAGTCTTTGGCCAGGCACACGAGCGTGGCCTTCTGGGTTTTGTTGATCTCTGCTTCTGATGGGTCAAACACAACGACCTGGGGTGGGCTCACATTTGCCAGGTCCTCTGGAAAGTGAAGAGGGGTGGGGAGGAGCAGGGCTGCTGAGAGCTGTCTGGGCCTGGGTTTGTGTGGGTGCACGTGTGTGGGTGCACGTGTGTGTGCATATGTCCGTGTAGGTGCACATGTGAGTTTGCATGTGTGAGTGTGTGTGCATATGTGTGTGCATAGGCGTGTGTGGGCGCACATGTTTGTGTGAGTGTATGCATGTATTCACGTGTGTGGGAATATGCACACATTTGTGTGTGCATGTGTGCATATGTGTGTGCACGTGTGCACGTATGTTTAGGTATGTGGATGCACACATGAGTGTGAGTTCGTGCGTGTTTGCATACGTGTGTGGGTGCACGCGTGTGTGCATGTGTGTGGTGCACTTAGGTGTGAGTGTGTGTGAGACAGCCATGAAGGAGCCATGATAAAGCACAGCCATGTCACCGTAGGTCACACCCCACTCCTCTGCATTTGTACTCCCTCTTCCTTGCTGTCCACTGTCTCTCCAACCTCCTGTGGTTGCGGTAGGAATGGCTCTTCCTTGCCCTCAGAGTAATGGCCCTAATGACATGTTTTGATTTTTCCTCCATCAGTAAAAGTTACCTGTCTACTTCTTACTGCTTTACATAGTAGTTATTTAAATAGAGCCCTGGGTGGCAATCAGAACAACAGGATCCAAATCTGGAACCACTTAGCCCACCAGTGTGCTTTTGGAACATCGCTTTAGTATCTCTGCTGCATTTTTTTCTGGCTGTGACGTAAGAATCAGAACATCGACTTTCCGTATCTGGCAAATATTGCATATTCTCCATCCCATGAGGAAGCTAAGAAAAAATCTCAGTCTGAACACAGAATGGTGATTCCTAGAGGCTGGTAGTGGAAAGTGGAAGAGAAGGAGTTTAGATAATGGCTACCAAATCAGAGTTAGGGCAAAGGAATACGTTCCTGGTGTTACACAGCAGAATGGGAGACGACAGCTTACAATAAGCTCATGTAGGATGTATGAACAAATCCAAGAGAGAAGACTGTAATCATATAGTACTGTCACAGAGGAGAAATGTTGAATATCCTGTTGGGTAGGCACACACTGAATACTGGTATTGAAATGTCACACTGTAGCCCATAAATATGTACAATATTGTTAAGCTCTGGAAGGTAGAGATTCCAGAGGTTCACCTAGAGGGTGACTGCACCCCAGCCCCAGAGGCCGAGGTCACCCCTGCTCAGGGGCAAGCAGCTCTCTGCTGACCAGCCAAGGGCCCCTGTGGGTGCTGTGTGCCCACTCCTGCCCGGGACCCCAAGCTTGGGAAGAGCGAGGGGTTCTACATCTAATTTTAAACCCACTTTGCTAAACGGTAAATCAGCAAGGCCAGGCTGGCCTGGACACTGCTTTACTGATTCATGGTCATCTGTGCATCTTGGCCTCTCTGTTCCACCTTGGTCCACCCTTTTCTTCTCTGCCCAACTGCACTCAACGCCCCAGTCATTTCAGACCCCCTGACACCTGCCCGGAGCTGTGCCCTGCTGGTGTCCAGCCAGGCTCCTCCCTGCCCTTCCCTGCCCATGGGGCTCCCTTTCCTGAGTGGCAGCTACAGCCCTGCCCCCACCCATGCCCCAGGTCACATCCAGCAGCTCTCCAAGTCCTAATACATCCTCCCCTTCTCCACCCCTCACCCTATCCCTGCACCCTTTTCTGAAAGGGTGTGAAAATGAAATGACATAAGGATTCACAAAGCCTCACCCTACACCAGGTTATTTGTATCCAAACTGAAGGAGCTGAAGAAGAAGGGGGATTTGGGTTTAGAGAGACATTTGGGGGCTGGGGTCTTCTTCAGATTGTGAAACGCACACGGTTTGCTCTTGTCTACTCAGGAGGACATCTTTCCAGTTCACAGGGTGTTCATGAGAACAGGAGGTTTTCTCACTTTTTGTCCTGCATGAGGTCATCCTGTCCATTTCTCTGCTTCCAGCTACCCTGAGTTTCTTTGGACCAGAGGAATAGAAACCCCTCCTTATTTTAAATGCAGGGATTTTTCCAACTTTCCTTTTCCCTTGACATCCAAATCCTACCAGCAAGCCTCTGTCCCAAACAAGCCTCTGAGATGATCAGAGCAGCTGCTTGCTACCATTGTCTTGAGGGCATTGCCGCTCTGAGCAATGGTGGATACCTAGAGCGCCACAGGTGAATTCCTTATTTTCATCCCGTGACAGCCTTCTCATTTTACCAACTCCTTCTTCTGGACCTGCCCTTCATTCATCTATCCTACTCTGTGCTTTCCATGGAGTTTTTGTGTCTGAGCAAAAACATTTTAGCCTCCTGCTAAAATGAAGACGTACTCTTACGTTCTCACACTTCTTCACATTTCCACGGATGTGACTGCCTTCCGGCCGGCTTCGCAGGCGTGCAACCTGTGCAGTTACACACACCCACATGCTTAGAAGAGACCTATACTTGGTTTCATGTTAGGCTGCTATCATTTTGAAATCCTACACAATTTTTAAAGTGACAGCCTCACTCTTTTATTGTGAGCTAGGCCTGCAAATTTTGTAGCCGGTCTTGCCACCCTTCAGGTCAGTGTGCCCTCTCCCCAGCTCATAGCTTGCTGTTTGCTTTTATGCTGCCAGGTCTTTGCCGGATGAACTGGACCTGAAAACCCAGCTTGCACCTGCAGACTCAGCTCCACCAGTCTTTCTGCTGCAGTCTGGTTGCTTTTGCTCTCATCTCAAACACTCTGGCTCTGGGATTCTACCAGCCTTCCAGGGAAGGTTTCTATAGAAGGTACTGCTGTGCCTTCCCCCGTAAGTAAACATCAGTCTCTGTTGTAAAGATTAAAGATGTGCCTTGAGCCACCTGTGCTATTCTCAAGGATATCTGTCCATCCAACAGGCAGGTCAAAAGCAAACAGACCCTCACTATACCCGGTCTGGTCACTGTCACCAAATAACCCAGGTTAACAGCCAGGGATTGTGAGCTGCTTCCTTCCCTGGCCTCAGGGCTGTCATCACCCTGTGGAGTTTAAAGTCCTTTCCAACTCTAAGAGCATAAGATCACAGGGAATTGTCCTCTCTGCACAGGCTGCAATCTGCATTCGAAGGTGTTTGTAACAAATGAATTCCTTGTACCCTCTGGACTGAACAGCATAGAGTACTCTCAGGAAGCCAGAGAGGCCAGAGATTTCCCTAAGGGGTGACTGCACCCCAGCCAGACTGCACCCAGAAGCCGAGGTCACCCCTGCTCAGGGGCAAGCAGCTCTCTGCTGACCAGCCAAGGGCCCCTGTGGATGCTGTGTGCCCACTCCTGCCCAGGGAACCCAAGCTTGGGAAGACCAAGGGGTTCTACATCTAATTTTAAACCCACTTTGCTAAACGGTAAATCAGCAAGACCAGGCTGGCCTGGACACTGCTTTACTGATTCATGGTCATCTGTGCATCTTGGCCTCTCTGTTCCACCTTGGTCCACCCTTTTCTTCTCTGCCCAACTGCACTCAACGCCCCAGTCATTTCAGACCCCCTGACACCTGCCCGGAGCTGTGCCCTGCTGGTGTCCAGCCAGGCTCCTCCCTGCCCTTCGCTGCCCATGGGGCTCCCTTTCCTGAGTGGCAGCTACAGCCCTGCCCCCACCCATGCCCCAGGTCGCATCCAGCAGCTCTCCAAGTCCTAGAACATCCTCCCCTTCTCCACCCCTCACCCTATCCCTGCACACCTCAGGAAACAGATTGAAACTGTCCCGTGCCCTGCCCATGTTCGCCTACCAGAAGCGGGCAGAGGATGTGGCAGCCCACTCCCGATCTCCCTCTCCCGCCGGCCCCGTCCCCATCGCACCGCACACTCTTCCGGGGTCTTGCGGGACCTGGGGCTGGAAGGCGCGGGCGTCGGACTCACCTGTGACCGTGAGCTTGGTGCCGGGACCGAAATACTGCTCATAGGAGCCCCCCCCCAGTCCCCACAATGTTACATCATGATACAAAAATGTTTCATAGTTCTGTCCCCCACCTCCAACCCCCAGGCAGGGGCAGGAAGCACAGGTGGCAGCGGTTAGTCTGACTGAGTGGAGCTGGGAACAGACAAACTCAGGGTAAATTTAATGTGGGGAGAGGCTTGCGGCGGGGGCATGGGGGAGGTGGTGGTGGTGGTGATAGGGGAAGAGAGACCCATTCTAGAACATGCACCCCCGAGGAGACATCTATGGCATTGGGTCTCCCCTCTGAGGCTCACTGTGCCCACCTGCTCAGACTGGCATTTATAGTGAGGTGGGTGGGAGGAGCAAGGAGTGGAGAGGCAGCCCTAACAGAGAAATTTGTAGAGCACATTCTAGCAATTTATAGCACAAGGACCAACAGCTTAGAAACCTACAATCCCTCACTGCTTCCTGAACAAGGTCCAAACTCTTATCATTCACTGATGCCACAAGAGTGCGTGAACAACTATTATGTGACACGTTGGTTTGTAAGGATGAGTGCGGTGTCAGAACAGCATGTCTCAGCCTGCCTTTGAATACTCCTGTCTCAGCCTTACACCCAGTCAGCTGCACAGATGTTCCCAGAAGTATCTAACCACATTGTCTGAGCTTTTGCTCACGTCTCTGATTAGCTTGGCCACTCTATCCAGAGTGGGCAACTGAGATAAATTCTCCTTTTGAAGAGTTTGTCACCTCCTCAGACTGATCATCCGAATGAGAAATTGAGCATTAGCCTCTGACTGTATTTTAGTAGAGAGCTTACACTTCTATTCCAAAGCTTTGCATTGCCATTCAGCTCTTTGCAAGACTTCACCTCTTTCTTTGTGATTGGTAGCTTCTTGGAGACTGTGATGTAGATTTCTTTTTTTTCTTGGAGGCTGATAGAGACATTCGTGAGTGGGTGACCGTGTGCACTTGTGTGCGTGAGTATATGAAGGTGCATACACACATTTGTTTGTGTGCACACATGGCTTTGAATGCTTTAAGGTGCAGTACCTAGGATGCTTATTTCCCATAATGGAAAGGTGGGTGGCTGTTTCAGGCAGGACTTTGCAGATGATTTCTGAACAGGCTCTCTGTGGGTTCAATCATTTATACATTCATTTATTCAAAGATACTACCAGTGTTGACACTGAAACAAGGTACCAATGGCATATCCCAGAGATACCATCACTTCCTGCTTATCAGGGAGTTTGCAGTCAGATGTGGTGCTAGACAACTAAAGAGGCAGTTTCCATCAAGTGTGACAAGTATCATGAAGGAGGCATACACCAGGCAGCATGATAGCAAAATAAAGAGTGTATTCAGGCCAATCTCTGCAGAGAAAGAGGTAGGGAAAAGGCAATAAAGAGCCAGATGTCAGAGTCAGATCTTTAAGACTAAGTAGGAGTTACCAAGGCAGGAAGGGTTGTGTCATTTCAGAAGGAGGAGTAGTGTGTGCAGGTGAGAGAATGAGGGGAGTGTGGAATAAGGAGGTAGGGCACCATCAGTGGGGTCTTAGGACCCATGTGAGGGACCGGCACTATATCACCATGGTGACAGTGAGACAACAGACCAACAGACTGCATTTGAAGATTGCCTAGAAGTCGAAATAGGGCTGATTCATGGTTTTATTTTATTATTTTTGACAGGCAGAGTGGACAGTGGGAGAGAGAGACAGGGAGAAAGGTCTTCCTTCCATTGGTTCACCCTCCAATGGCTGCTGCGGCCAGCGCACTGCGTTGATCCGAAGCCGGGAGCCAGGTGCTTCTCCTGGTCTCCCATGCGGGTACAGGGCCCAAGCACTTGGGCCATCCTCCACTGCACTCCCGGGCCACAGCAGAGAGTTGGCCTGGAAGAGGGCAACCGGGACAGAATCCGGCACCCCGACCGGGACTAGAACCCGGTGTGCCGGCGCTGCAAGGCGGAGGATTAGCCTAGTGAGCCGCGGCACCGGCCTGATTCGTGGCTTTAGGGAAATCTATTTTGTATCCTTGCAAAAGTTGAGCAGGGAGGAACAGGGGTGGTGCTGTGATGTAGAAGGTAAAGCCTTTGCCTGCAGTGCCAGCATCCCATATGGACGCTGGTTCAAATCCCGGATGCTTCTCTTCTGATGCAGCTCCCTGCTAATGCTCCTGGGAAGGCAGTGGAGGATGGCCCAAGTGCTTGGGCCCCTGCACCCACGTGGGAGACCCAGAAGAAGCTCCTGGCTCCTGGCTTTGGATGGACCCAGCTCCGGCCATAGTGGCCAATTGGGAAGTGAACTTTGCAGATGGAAGATCTCTCTCTTTCTCTCTCTCTGTATTTCTGCCTTTCAAATAAATAAATAAAAAGAAGTTGAGCAAGGAACATTTTACCATTTCACCATAATTTTCTGGAAAGAAACTTATAAACATATTCATAACTTAGACTGGAAGACGATCTTCCACTGAAAACAAATTTCCATGATAGTTCGTTTTACTCTTCTCAGCTGGGAGACATACTCGAGGAACAAATGGAGACAAGTGGTGTTTATCAGTGAGCTGACTGCAACACAGGTGGGTGATATAGGGGGAATTAAGTTTCCCTAGCCAAGGGGACATGAATAGTTGGTAGGTGGGCACATTTTGTTGGTCCACTGATCCTTAGGGCACTGTTGTTCAGCGCAGGAGAGAAAACTCCTTTAAGCTAAATCTCTAGAAAGTTCTAACAGTAACTACTTCAGCTCCCATACATCTTTCATGACTAACTTCTGTCAATCAGAGTGAGTCCCGCCCCTCTCCTAGGTGAGAGAACTGCAATTTGCATGAGCAGCTCTTGTTTCCATCCTGACTGAGCAGGGAGTGCAGAGACTGGAGGAGAGATTGAGACACACACAGGGAGTGCAGAGACAGTGGAGGAGAGATTGAGACACACACAGGAAGTGCAGAGACAGTGGAGGAGAGATTCAGACACACACAGGGAGTGCAGAGACAGTGGAGGAGAGATTGAGACACACACAGGCTCGGCCATGGTGCTTTTATTCATGGAGTCATTTCAGCATACATCGGTTCCTCTGGGTAGGGGAGATTTCTGCCATGACTATCTAAGGGTGCACGCACTCAGGGGGAAGATACTGGGGTGGAGAGAGATGCCAGCTCTTCAGAAGTGTTGGCGTAGGGAGAATCCACACTGGGACTGTCACAGGTCGGAAGCTGCAGCTTCATCTTCTGAGGGGCGTCAGGAGTCCTTTCTCTTGACCTGCAGAAGAGGTTTTCAGGGTTACTGACATCTAGGAGTGGTGGGAATTGTCGGGAAACGGGAGAGATCATCCACCAGGAAGACAGGACTCCATGAAGCATCCCTTGAGTGACCGCAACTTCTGATTCCCAGCGCAGATCCTTACACTGCATTCCTGTTGAGGTGGAAGCTGTCCCATGGGGCATGTGAATTAAGGCCCCTGATGTTCTACTGCCTACCTCCAGTGCTAGCAAGAGCTCCTTACTCCTGGCCCTGAGTAGCCTGTGCCATGTCATCACCTACAACGTTCCCACACAGCCCACTTACTCCTTACCATGGCCATCAGCACCAGGGCGCTGACCAGCACAGCGTACAGGGTGGCCTTCCCCAGCAGGATTTCATAGAGGACGGTAGCAGACAGGACCCCTTGCTGATAGGATGCTGTTGGCAGGAGGGGAGAGCAAGTGGGTACCTGTGAGCAGCTGTCTGTGGCCTCCTCTGCTCCCCGCCCCACCCAATGTCCATGAGTTTTCCAGGCCCTGGTTCCAGGCAAAGACCAAGGGTCTCACTTACCCGAGCTGATGCCACAATCTGGAATACAAAGGGAAAGAAAGGTAGATGAGAGGATGTCATTCCTTAAGGACACTGAGCCCCAAATCACAAACTCCACTTATTTACTTTATTTTTATCGTTTATTTGAAAAGAAGAAAGAGATGGAGGGAGATCTTCCATCCACTGCTCCACTCCCCAGATGCCTGAAACAGCCAAGGCTAAGCCAGGCCAAAGTCAGGAACCTGGAACTTAATCCAGGTCTCCCCCATGGCTGGGAGGGGCTTATGTACTTGAGCCATCATTTTCTACCTCCCAGGGTGTGCATGAGCGGGAAACTGGATTAGAAACCCAGTAGCTGGGACTTGGACCAGGCAGTGTGGCATGGGATGCAGTGTCCCAAGCAGGGACTTCACCACAGCACCACACACCCACCCTGTAGACTTCAAAATCACAGACTCAGGCCACCGACTCCTGTACATCAGGTGGGGCAAGGTCAGCCTCTCCCGACGGCCCTGGCACTGTATTGCTGAAGCTTTCCCAGTGTCGGGGACAAGGTCACTTTAATTTTATAAAACAGGACCAGTGAAGGGGACAGGAGACAGCACCTACAGATGCCAAGCTGTGTGGCTGGTGCCCAGGGCCACCTCTCAGCACAGCTGGGAGGGGCTGAGACTCCAGGGAAGGTGTGAGCCTGGTTTGGCCTGTTCAGGTCCCAGTCGTCATGGAGAGGAAGTGTGCTCTATGCTTCCTGAAATTGTGGTCACTGATGGTCCCCTTCCATCGCCTCTGGTTTTCTTCGGGTCTAATCTTCTCTTCTGCCTGGAGCTTTTCACTTCCCGGTGGTGGGTGGCCCCCCCCAGCCTCCCCAGGCCCTGCTTACCTGCTCTGCCCCGGGTGTGAGCACTGATGTTCTGGGTGATGGGTTTACTACTGTTGTACGTCCACTCGTCGTCGTCCGTGAGCCCAAAGAACTGGACTTGGCAGCGGAAGTGGTTGCGGGGGTTGTGCCAGAAGGCAGCCGACACCCTCAGGCGGCTGCTCAGGCAGTATTTGGAGTGATCGGACTTGGGGTCCTGCTTGTAGGGCTGGGGGTCCGTGCTGACTCCATTGTGGACCTCCTTCCCGTTCACCCACCAGCTCAGCTCCACGTGGTCAGGGTAGAAGTCTTTGGCCAGGCACACGAGCGTGGCCTTCTGGGTTTTGTTGATCTCTGCTTCTGATGGGTCAAACACAACGACCT